GGTAAGTTTTTTATAATTGAACTGTTCCAGAGACATTATTGAATGTTGTAGTTTTAATAGTTATAATTTGATTTTTAATTGAGTTCGTTGTTTCGACAATATTAAAAAAATATTTTTGGTCCTAAGTTTTCCTAATATCGCACTATTCCTAATGTCATAATATCGCACTGTGCGATATAAGGAATACTATAGTTTGTAGATTTGTAAGGGGGATATCTACGCCTGTCGTTACTTCGACCTAACATATTTTGTGAAAAATACTATAGTTTGGTGTAGATTAAAGCATAACAGAAATTTTTAATTACTGATGCCGCCTAAAAAAAGGAATCAGACCTAAAGCATGAAACGAGCAATATTAACTGTTAGAGCCAAAGAAATGGGCCTGTTACGTGCATCGAAACATATTAGTGTACCTAAGTCAACATTAAAAGACAAAGTGAACAGTGCTGAAGAGGATGTCAATAAGTTAGTATCTATAAAGCTTGGTAGAAAACCTACACTCGATATAGAGTTAGAAGAAGCATTAGTAACGTACTGTTTGGAAATGGAATCTCGGTTTTATGGACTAACAGCAAAAGACGTAAAAAGAATGGCGTTCCAATTAGCTGAAAAAAATGGACTTCAGCACCCATTTCGCAAGAAAGATGAAGCAGCAGGATGGAAGTGGTTACGTTCATTTATGAGAAGGCATCCACGACTTAGTTTAAGAAAACCACAGGCCACATTTTTAAAAAGAATTACGGGATTTAGCAAAAAGAACGTAAAAGCTTTTTTTGACCTGTATGAGCCTCTTTATAGTCTTGTTAAGAATTCCCCAAACAAATTGTACAATTGCAACGAAACTGGTTTAACCATTGTACAACACAAAACTAGTAAAGTGATATCTCTACGTGGCAAACGTCAAGTTGGAGCCATTTCCTCTGCAGAGAGGGGTTCCTTAGTAACGATGGTTACATGTATGAGTGCAACAGGCCATTATATCCCGCCCCTTTTGGTATTTCCAAGAAAAAATATGAAACCAGAGCTATTGGACGGCGCTCCAAATGGAAATTCAGCAGCGCGCCATAAATCTGGATGGATTGAAGCGAAAAGTTTCCAAAAATGGTTTAAGGAACAATTTTTGGCAAATGTAAAGCCTACCAAGAACGATCCAGTGGTTTTGATATTAGATGGCCATTATTCTCACACACGAAATCTGCCATTGCTAGAGTTGGCCCGAGATAATGGGGTGCATATTGTAAGTTTGCCACCCCATTGTTCCCATAAAATGCAACCTCTTGATAGGTCATTCATGGCACCTTTTAAGACTTATTATGCACAAGCTATAGAATCATGGTTAAAGCACAATTCATATAGAGCTATAACCCACTACCAAATAGGAAAACTTTTAGGTGAAGCTTATAACAAGGCAGCAACAGTTGCTACTGCAGAAAACGGTTTCAGGAAGACCGGATTATTTCCACTAAACCGCAATATTTTCCAAGCTCATGAGTTCGTTGCCCTCGAAACTGAGTCAGAAGTAGACGTTCAACAGTCAGTGTCCAGCAGGGCTCCTCCATCAGTTATTCTTGATGATATTCAGCAGCCTGGACCTAGTAATATTCAGCGAGCTGTCGTTGCTATTTATAAACCAGGACCTAACCACATTTGCCAAAAAAATGTCTTGGAACAGTCAGGACCAAGCAGCCCTTATCCTTCTAGAATAATGCCAGTTCATATCAGCCCGCTTCCTTTTATAAAACCAAAAACTCACAGTGTTAAATGTAGAGGACGACCAAGCCGTCCAGCTGCAGTAATTACAAGTTCGCCATACAAGGATCAGTTGTCTCAAGACATTGCAGAAAAGGAAAGAAAAAAAGAAGTCAAAGCGAGCAAAAGTGTTAAGAGAAATATAAATCCAAAATTAAAAGCGCCACCTAACAAAACAAAAGGCAAGAGAAAGAAGGTAACAGATTCGTCTTCAGAATCAAGTGAAGAAAATATTGATGAGCCGTTGACTGTCTCCACAGATGAAGAAGATAGTGATGATGATTGTGAGTGCCCCTATTGCAATCAAACTTATTTAAGTGATAAAAAAGGTGAACCGTGGATAAGATGCATTAAATGTCGCATTTGGTGCCATGAAGCATGCTCTGGTTCTGATGATTATTCAACTTTTGTTTGTGACGTTTGTTTAGAAGGATAAATTGTCAAAAATCAAAACTACTCACCAATATACATTTTTTATACTATGCTTTTAATAAATACCTTAAATAAATAATTTAGTTTTATTTATACTAAATATAAATTAAGCAAAAGCTTAACATCGCACTATGCGATAT